AAACTTGGACTGGTTGACCTGGTGGCACTGTCCTTTCAGTATTGTTTATTTAATCATGCACCTTATACGCTCAGCCTTCTTTAATAACAATCATTATTGGAAACCGGATACTTGTTGTGATGTAATTGCCTTCAGCCATTGGTCAATATAACAGGAAATGAAAGATATATGACAGAATTTTGTATGAAACTAAGACAACAATTTCTGATCTTTAAAAAATTTGTTTCATGGAATGTAATCCTGAAATTCGATGCCTTATTAAAGCTTAAGAAACATGGAAAACTGTGTTCAATACACAAATGAGGCATCAACACAGTCATATTAATAGATAACCTTGATACACTTCAGCTTCATTATCTTTATCCATTATCCCACTTAAGATTTGCTCATCTTTTCTTCTGGGAAAACCATCCATCCGTTCATCATTATTATAAATACTATTCTTAAAATTTCTTGTGTTTTCTTTTAAATGAATATAATTTATAATTAAAACATTCATTATAGTTTGGGAAAATATCAACATAATTGCAGGTTATTTTATTTTTTATCTGAGGTCACACTCACAGATGTGTACACTAAAACAACCAAATTCGCTGAGGGTCTAGAGGTATATTTTTTGCAGTTTTTTTTGCAAATTCAACCTCTTTAAGTTTTTTAAGCGCTTTATAAAAATGAAAATCTTAAATTGTTGTATTTACTAAAGGTTTTAAAGTTAATATATTTTGTTTTTCTATCTTTACTAATTTTTTTGTAAAAATGCATTTTAAGTTTACATTTGCCATGGCAAACAGGTTTTGCCATGGCATTTTGGTATTTGTCATGGCAAGATTTTCTCTACATTTGCCATGGCAATTTTTTTTTAAAATTCACAAAACATTCTAAAACTTATCCTATGACATGTTCTTGGGGACATTGTTATGTTTTTATTGCAATCTATAATTTTTTTCATGGCAAGGCCCTGATAAAAGTGGACAGCTGAACTTTCATGCAGATTTGATAAAAAAAAATTTATTTCTTCATAACAAATTGTGTTTTTACCAAGTTCAAGTACAGTAAAATAATTCTGAGAACAAAATGCTTTTCCACTACTCACAGACCTGTCATCTATATAGCATTTGCCATGACAAATGCTGGGGGCAGCTTTACTGTTACAGTAGAAATATCCTAATTTTCCAGAGAGTATTTTCCACGGATTGCTAATATACAAATAAGCTCAGAAAATGGGATTTGCCTAAACAAATATGTCAATTTAATTTGATAGATCTGTTCATCTTAAATCTTTCCTCCAACTTTAGAATACTGAATGTAATAAACTTTGATGCATATACTTCCATCTGACTGTATAGTGTTGAGACATTGAAATACAGTCTAACCTGCCAAAGTGACCATGTGACTAGTTTCATCAAAAGAATACCTTTAAAGAGGAAGTGGTCAAAATTTGTGCATTGATTTAAGGAAGTTAGACTCTTTCAAATACTGGTGTCTGTTTTACTTGACATCTGTTACAAGAAAAACTACAACTTCCCCTAAATCAAAGTACTTAAAAATATTGACAAAAGGCAAATGATATAGTGTTGAGCAACTATTTTTAGGGGGTCAGAATGAAATTCTTCAATAAAGTGTCTTGATTCAACTAACCTTTGCCATTATACACTTTTGTGCTGAATAGGGGAGGTGACTGCTGTGAACAGAAGACAAAGGAATTGTACCTGCTTAAAACAACTGCAACCTATGTTGCAGTAAGTTCTCATAAAATTCTCTTATCTTTAATATTTCTATGAAGCAACATTCAATAAATTTATTGTATATTAAAAATTTTATTTCTTAAGATTTTTGTTCTGATTTTACTTACTTTAAGTATCAAACTATATTATTATGCTTATGCAATGGATATGGTTGATTTAGGGCCAATGCAATTTGAAACAACGGCATATGAATGAGATATCTCCTTCAAAATATAAGAATGGGTATTTTGTCTATTTTTTTTCAAATCTTTTCAAAGTCATCTGTGATTTGGAAAAAAGCAATGTTTGGAATAATATATTCCTGATAGTCAAACCTAAGCCATACAAAGCCAATGTTCAATTTTATTGCCAATGCCCATTGCTTTGCCTTGCTGGTGGGAATCTTATATATTGTCAGTTTGATACAATAGATGTTATCCGGAACTCGGCAAAAGCGGGTCTTTCCCAGCTAATCCATCACTAAAGGTTCAAACAAACTTTTACTATTAAATCTTCATGATGCACTTCCCATCACAATAGATTAGTCAACCTGTTGCACTTATTTTGAAGCTGTAACTGTAAATGTTTGTTAAATGTACCTAAGGATGGATAACCTGGGAAAAACCCAAATATTTTTAATTCCACGGTAAGTCTATTTCATAGTGCAACCCCAAAAATATAAACAATCAGTATCAAGGCAAATGAAACAATAAAAAATCCCCTGGGGCAATTTCTATTTTTTAATCATTATTTTTCTCCAGAAGTAAGACACGACTGTAGCAGGAGTTGATAATAGAAATACAATAAGATAGCAACACTGTGATTATGGAATAGTCGAATATAGAGTGATTTATATGAATGGAGCATCATCTCTCAATTAACTCAGTCCCTAGTGATTTTTGCCTGAAACTTCTTCTAGGGCTATACATTCTTTGGTGGAATTCTAATAATCTAACACTGAGAAGCCTTACAGTGATAATAGATCAAGGCTTATATTACATATCTATATGTTTTCTGATGAAAATACAGTAATTTTGGAGTGAAGAAATAGTTATAAAGATAGGGATCTGTATCATTCAACATTTGGTATTGATCAAATTACTTGTGTATTAATAGCAGTACAGATGACTGGCAAAATTGTAATTTTTTGTAATATAAACTCACACTAGCTGTCATTTATGGTTATGCATTTATTTTTGCATGTGTTGCAAGCAAGTCCATGAACAATGCTAGCTAAAATTTGAAACCCTTAAATTTAATTTCTAAAGTTCAGAGTAATTTTTCATTTTGCAAGTTCATTAAAAATGCAGACTTTTAAGACTAAAAATTAAAGCAGCACGTCTCTGGATTCATGCTAATTTACATGAAAAGTTTAGTTTATACAAATTTATTTTAGTTTGATTGTATTGAAAGCTGTAACATTTTTCTCAAGTTGCATTTTGGCTCATCTGGCCGCAATGCTGCTTTAATGTGATTTACAGACCCGATTTCATTACATCATTTTATACTGAACTTAAGTGTCCCATTTTAGGAAAAGGATGTCTTTTGGAGTAACTTCCTTTTACGATTGTTGATCAGCAACTAGTTTTCCTGAATATTTTTTACCTCCATAGGAAGGGCCAGCAAATTTATTTCCCATCATTCCCCTCCCCAGTAGTTACTTTCCTATTTTCTGTCCATCATATTTTTGAAGATACATAATTATGCTACTTTGTACCTTGTGTGGCCTGCTTTTTAAGCTGGTTATTAAATGGAATAGATCTACCAGGTGGCCTATCTCAATACAGACTTACACATGTTACGTCCTGTTATAAATATAAATACTTTAACAGTCCGACATAAGATCTAAAATAAACCTTGCATCCAGAGAAATTTTAAGGTCTACTTTTCCTTATAAATATTCATACACATTTTTGTATAAATATTGAATTGGAAAGTGATATCTTTATTTGTCTGCCTGCTTTCTAATCATTGTTATACCATACTATCCATTGATCTCTGCGCTTTTAATCAATTTGAAATACAAATGTCAACATAAATAACATAAAACCTCTTGAATAATTAAAGACATTCTAATTCTTTAACAAATAAATACTACATTTTCCAATTAACTAACTTGACATTTAATAATTACACTGGAGACTAACCTGTCAATTATAGGTTCTTGCATGCAATAATTACAAGACTTAGGGTGGAGGTCATTCCATACTGAAGAGACAAATCTTACAAAATTCATTTACAGTTTCCTGCCAAAATCATGCAGTATATCATTAATTAAAAGAAACAATTATATATATACAGTCAAACATGTGTAAAAGACCACGGCTGAATGAAAATAACCCAGTAAATAAAGGTCACACTTTTGATAACCCATTATTGATAAATTTGAATATAGAAACCTTCAAATAAAAACCACCTGTCTTTAAAGACCATGTTTTGTCTCTCCCTTATCATGTTCCTGTGAAGGAACTGTCAATGTACAACTTACAGTTGGCTGGTGCCAACATAAAACATTTTACCAGTTATAGGATCATTAAAATTCCAAAGCTTATTGATATTTGATTATGTATCAATTAATCTATGCACAAATTCATCTGATACTAGTACCCTATAAAGGTGACCTTGACCTTGAGTCAGCACTGTGATGCTATTGGCAAGAGGTATAAGATTTATAGAGCAGACATGGCATTGTCAGATATTTGACCTTGACCTTCAAAGAAAATTTTCACCTTGAGCAGGTTCAGCTGTGGCATGGTGACCTGCACATTGCCCTTGTTAAGATGAACAATTAAGCCAAGTTTGAAGCAAATACTTCATTGGATTTATAGAGCAGACACAAAATTGACTAGATATTTGACCTTTTGACTTTCAAAATTTTACCTTGACCTTTAGCTTTAGCTTCTGGTGCATATTCCATCAATTTGTCATTTTCTTAACTGCAATAATCAAATTGCTCTAATTCTTTTGCAAAATGTTTAAACTAATGTCAGATAAGGAAAAGGATGTCTTGTGTTTATAAATAACATCAGATAATGTAAAGATGTCTAAAAAGCTTAGAATAATTCAAGGCTGACAAGTCGAAACCTTTGTTCACAACATTCAAGTCAACAGCCCTATTCATTTCAACAAATGAATTAATTTTGTTTGTTTTGTTTGGTTTTATGGCGCATCTACACAGTTTAGGTTATATGGCACCGAAACATGAAAGATGATTGGAGCAAACGCAAACCTTATTTGTTACTGAGAGATGTGTAAAATTATACATATAAAGCTTACTATTTCTGAAGTTATCCAACTTGCTATTTCTTAAGTTGCGTATTTCAGGTAGAACTGGGACTTTGTTTGGAGCGTCTGTAATATCTTCGTAGTTTATGATGAACAGAATTATCTCCCCGTGCTCGTTCTTTACCGGAGCTATCAGGACGCTGCATAGAAATTTTTCTCCTGAAAATGAGAAAACAAATATTTTGTGATTAATACCTAATGTCAGTAAAAGCCCTGACAATTACAGCTGCCAATAGCATTGCCTTACAGAAATTAAACTCAACAGTGTGAAAAATGTCAATATCGTAAACACTGATCTACTTTCTAGGAAAGATTTTGTTACCATGAAACGATTTATTCACCTTCTGGGACTTAGTATCACATTCCTATATCTTGAAATCAATTATCTGCTAATATGAACTAAATTAAGGGATGTTTAAAATTTGAAGAAGACAAAACAGTTAGTGTTACAGAAACAAATTGCCTCATATTCTGGAAAATAATGTCAATATTTGTCTGCAAGAATTAATTTGTTGTGGAATAGCTCTGATTATTATAATTTAAGTAGTTTTGTGGCTCACTCGTAGGGCTGAGGAGAGCTTAGTATTATCCAAAACAAACTTTCCATTTTTCTTACATTATTTACATTTAGAAACCACATTATTTACCATAAATAATTTTCATTGATTGACATATAAAAAAAACGTCAAATAAGTTAAGTATTCAAAGGGTCCAACAATGAGTCTGTTTAGCTACGTATTTTTCTCACCTTGTTACAAATAATCAACAAGTTTACTTTTAAAATGGAATGATTTTTTTTACTATTTTTTTTTTACTTTCCCAGTGATCTGATCTAGAAACTTGTCATAGTAATTACTGTCCTTGGACTTTCAACGATTTTAACTACTTGAATTGAGTAATCACTGGAATACGCAATGGATGGCCTGCCATGTTGGTGGGAAGCCATGTCAAAAACCCATTACCCAAAATCAGAGAAATTTGTTTAATTTGCTGGCAAACACTTTTTATACATCACACCAATTAAGGCAGTTAGCTATTCCTAAAATTTGTCATGTCTTTGGTGTTTGAAATGGCTGAACGTAAAAAAAAAACCACTTGCAAACATCTCAATAAAGACTTGACGAGAAGATCTGTTTTTACCCCCAATGTTTCATCAAATTATTCATGGCACTGAACCAATAAAAACATGACAACATCTTTTAAGTAATAACAATTCTTCTTTCTGTAATATAAAATTAAAAGTCTGCCATATGAACCAGACTCTATATGGCAATAGACATTCAGCAATAATCTTAAAGGCCCATCATGCCACAGAAGCTTTCATTTTTGTTTCTTAAAATCTTTTAAGTTGTGGTAATTTGTTTTACAGTTTCAAAACAAAAGTATAAATCTCATTTGCCACATAGATGAACTCACTTTTGTTTCTTTTGTTCTGTTTGCAATTGGTATAACTATAGTGAATTAGTATTTTGTATGGAAGTCAAAATACTATTTAGTTTACATTTTGCTTGTAACCATAGATCACTATTTAACAAAACCTTTGTATTGAAATTTTATTGAAATTCTTTTATTTCTTTTATATCATGTTTATCAGTAACTTTAAACAATATTCTGTGATAATTATAATTCTGACTGTTGTAGTCTTAACCTGAAATGTGATTTTATTAATTTATGTATTTGCTTCTTTTTTTAAATACATTTATCCAATGCCTCATCTGATCTCAGTCATTAACTAAATTTGTTTTATTTATTATTAATATGAAATGATATTTTAATTTGGATAAACTGTTATTTTATATATATTTATTTATATATATATATCTTATTATGTAACTGTGATCTATGTTGTTGCTAAAATAAAATAAATAAATAAATAAATTGCTAACTTAATAACACATTACTGCATGTTCAGCCTACTTTTTTCAGTTGTTAAACTTCTAACATACTCTAAATTCATTATTGAAATGTTAATAAACACATGTTAGAGATTTCTAAAGAATTAAAAAAATATGGATTTTCTGAGGCATAATGTGTCTTTAAATGAAGGATAGCATGTAATATGCACTAGCTAACAGAATTGCAGGGTGAACTTAGACAACAAAATTCTTTTATTTTTCATTGTTTTATCATGGATAATCATCATACTCTCCTAGAAACACTGCTTTATTTCCATTATTATGAATGGTGTCTTAGAACTGTACCAGGATTGCAGCGAGAACTAAAACAACTCTGTACTCTATGGTATAGGATATTTATGCTGAACTGTACTCTATATCCAAGCAATATAGAGGAAGATATTGCACAACATTAGATATCTGTTAAAGGCATGGGTATATTAATAATATATGCTTTCCAGACATCCATATGGAGCAAGCAGGAACACTAAGCCATGGTTATTGCCAACCCATTTTACCACACCCTGTTATAATGTTTAACTCACTTTAATGCAAATCAGAGACCTATGGAGCCTTTATTAATTCAGTTTCTATCCGACAAAGTATTCATTTTGAACTTTAAAATTAAGACTACCATATCATTATACAATGTAGTAGGAGGGAAATTTTCCAGCCGCACATGACACAGTCTTGTTCCGAGTTTAGATGACAATACTGTTTTGCTAGCATTAGGCAGTCACGTCATGTCTGCCGTATGTGTAAGGAATGACCATGAAATGGTAACTGAGACGAAGGGATTTAATAGCTGTCAGAAATGTCCAATAAATAAGATCAGCGTACATCACAGATTGACTTCTACTACCAATATACGCCTGTTTTCTATCCTCCATCTTGTGAGATAGTCAGTATAAGATGCAAATATGACAGACCAATATGTTAACTTATTAATTAACAAATATAAAATGTCTTACACGATATACAATATATTCTCTAAACAAGACAAATATACTCGGAATATTTACAGAAAAATGTGAGAGTCCAAAAGATTCTGACTGAAAAATTATTTAAGTTCTTGCTAGTTTGTGAGTTATCTTGCCATTGTAAAATACTATAGTCACGTAATTTTTTCTCTTTTTTTTTATCTCATTTGTTAATTCAAATTTGATGTGCCAGTTCTAAATTTTGAGAGGATGTCCGTATCATGAGAGAAATGCAAGACGAGACACTAGCTGTTGCAGTGTCAGGGAGTACTTAAAACACTATAGAAATTTGGTCAATCTTTTTTTCAATTATTAGCTTTTTGAACAGAAGTAATACTTATGCTACAAGCTACAAACATGGGCTGCCAAACGCGCCATCACACCTGTTTCTCAACAAAACCATAAGCTCAATGAAGATGAAAATTTTTTTTCCCTCTTAGCGTATTTAGGAAAAAAACTATATTTTCCTCATAATTCGAAGCATTGCTCAGAGGTCTGAATCTGATGTTGATGAAAATTTGATTTTATTGGCAAAACTCTGTATAAATGGCAGGATATTTCATTATTTCAGGACACTTTTCAACAGAGGGATAATTTTGTACATTGCTTGTCATGTTATAGCATCCAATATGTCAGCATCTTTCCAATAGGCCAATCATTAAATCAAAGCCAAAGATGTTAAAATTGCTACAGCATAATAAAACATAAATTGACAAAATTCCATGTTATTTAATCTAAGATTTTAATAAAAAGCTCGTTTTGTACAAATAATTGTAATTGTTCAATAGAAATATAGTTCTTTTTTTATTGAATTCATTAACAATTTGTTTGATTTTCTTAAAAATCACAATAAAATTCAGGATGACTGTTAAGAAATATGGTACCTGTCTAGATATTGAGATACTGGTACTCTGCACCCTTTTTTGTACCAAGTTGTTTCAGGCACATTTAATGAGCACCAGAGTTGAAACCATCCACATTAAAGGAGGCCACCTGGATAGCTTTCTCACAAGAAAGAATCCAAAGTACCTATTGGGATTTGAACCCACAGCAGTAAAGGGCAATCAATGACCTTAACTACTCAGCCATGGATGCCCAATATAAGTTATGATGATGTGTTAAGAGCATCTCTGGAGGGATTCAAAACAACTATGGAGATTTCAAATCTCCAACACTAACCATGTGCTGGACACAGAAGCTGCCATAATGATGAAAATCTTGCTTCTACATTCTTTGTCAGTGTCTGACAGCCCTTTTTTCTGTTGTTAATTGTCTAAATGGGTTCATTTAAAATATATTTTGATACCATGTAGGAGACGGTAAATACTTGTGTAGTAAACTTTGCTTATAACAATATAGCTTATAACAAAAATATACTGCTAATAACGATGCTGCTGCTGCAGTCCCGACTTTTGTGTTTCTCTAAGATACAACAAAATCCTAAAATAACAGTATAAATTTGGCAGTGTGCCCTGAATATTGTTATTAGCTGAGTTAACTGTAAATACATAGCTATGAATTTGTACTAATTAACTTGGCATTTAACATGACAGTTACTGTAAAGCAGGTAGGTAATTACTTTAAATGATGATGATATACAGACTATGACAATTAGATGACTTGCAAATTTATTGTGTTGTTCTTGAATACCATCCTTTGCAATATATTGTAGATTATTTTTCAAAATACAGTATGTCCTGTCTAATAACTAACGTTCAGGGAAATGGCTCAAACTGGTTCAAACCAACCTTCCCAGATTCTCATGTGGATCCAGCCTGGGTGAACGAATTATGCCCTCAAAAGTTACAATTTTTCACAAGATTGTCATATCTTACATTCCTTCAGGGTATTACTGTCGTACAATATGCAGTCTTATTTATACTAAGTAAATGCTGTCTGATACTAAGTTAGTCAATTATGCTAAGCTCAATTGACAATCTAAGGATTGACATTCTCAAAAGTGGCATAACTTCATCAATATGCAATGCGGAGTTATGACACTTAGCCTATATGTTCTGTACATTCTCCCATATATATTTCAACCTGTACTGGTAATATATTAGAATTCAAAGATATTGGTGGGGGAGTTTTATGTGCAAACAGAAGCAAAGTTGATCAAATTACCAAGGTAGAACTGGTTAAAGAGAATTTAGTCTACAAATCACAAGAACTCTCATCCCCACAGTATGTGCATGTTGCTAAAGATCCATTGCTACATGTATGACACTCTAAGTTTGCATTCAGTTTGGCGACTCGGGATTTAGGTTTCAGGCAGCACAACTTA